CACACACACACACACAGCACAAAGTACTTAGCTGATGTAGCTCAATAATTGTGTTCTGTGGAAAATGACAAGCATAAAAATGGCGAAGGTAGTTGTGTTGGAGCAAACAGTCACATCAAACGGCAGGGCAACACTGCAAAACTCCTGACCAGGAGTTAGATTCATGAGCCAGTGTTGTTCATAGAAGAGACCAACTCACTGGTTCAAGTTGGTGCCTCTTAGCTTCACACACCTGCTCTGGCTTCTCCTTGCCAGAGAGATTACTTATTTATCAACTTAAAATCTGATCTGATCCTGCCCATGATCCAAATATCCATTTACAAATGCAGAAACCTATAAAAATACTTCTCTTGGCATCTCAATTTACTAGGTAAAAATGTGGTTCCCACTTATAGTTTATTTTCCTGTGCTAAAGAAATGGTGCAGTGACGACCAAACAAGACTTACAAACATGAAGCCACATGGACTGACATATTACTGATTAACTGGACCATTTTGAAAACTTGTTACAAGAGGTCCTCATTGAGACCTGACCCCGTACCTGAGCTGTGTCCACACTTTTTTCAGTGTAATCAGTCTAATTGTGTGGTGCCAGCGTCTCAATGTGTCCAATACCCAATCTGCTGGCCGTGTTGGTTGGTTCCGTCTCTAATTGGGTCTGCATGGCCGACAGAATTTTGAAACCAGTCTAATCGTCCTACAATGGTCTGTTCCAGATATCAAGTTTTTCCTTTCTGGGGTCCCTTTGAGCTTCATTTCGGACCAGACCTTGCATCATTAGTACAGCACAGACACAGTGTGAGGTGGGGCGAGTAAAATAAAGGTAATTATGGTGACAAGGAATGGCTGCCATAAACAGAAGATTAATTATAAATATCACAACTGTCACATAATAGGTCATTCTAGTATTATCACCACAAATGAAGCTGACCTGAGTTCACCTGAAAACAAGACTTTTCAGGCTGTCCCTTACATGATGTCGACACATGGGTCAAACAACTGTTCCTCAGTGGCTACTGAAAAAAAAAAACTAAAGCACACTTTTAGAACAAAAGTCAAAACGCTTTTTTACAATTTACAACTGAGATGCAAAGCTCTCACAGCTGCGGGGAACATGCAGGATATTTTTTCAAACCATGACTGAAAGGAGAGCTTCCCAGCAAGCTCGCAGCATGAGTGAACCTCAAGAAGTCAGAGAAATTAGGTTTTCATGCTGTTAACGCGCTATGCTACGCTAAGCTGCGAGAGGTTAACCACAGTATAGACCCAATGGCCAGCATTAAACCCTAAGCGGAGCAAGTCAATAAATATTAGATGATGCCTGTTAAAGTGACCATCAAATGCTGGTTGAGGGGAGCCATAAAGAGGGTAGCATGCCAAATAGTCTCATAGGACACTTACAGTAAATAGAGGTGTGTGTGTGTGTGTGTGTGAGTAGATCTGCTTGTGCATGCACAGGTGTGTAACGTGCATGTGACTATGTATGCATGTGTGAAATTCTTGCTTGCATTAAGTTTGTGCAAATTGCAAAGAGCATGTATGGGTCCTCGTACAGATAAGTGTGTGTGTGTGTGTGTGAGAGAGAGAGGGAGAGAGATAACGTGTGTATTTGAGTCTACAGGGAGGGCGAGTGGAGATAAGAGTGCAGTAACAGCAGAATACTGTATGTGGACATCAGCGTGGGTGTTGGCAGTGCACCTTTTCCCATGTGAACTTGCCTCATCGGAGTCTTAGTAGGTTTCTTATGTTCTGTCCAACCGCCGCTTGCTTTTATATGTGCTGGAAAATTCGTTTATCCAGATAATTTTATCCTGGCGATGTTGAAGTGGTACTGACAGCCACGCCGAGCACATTTACAGTTCATGTTCAGTTTGTCTGGTCCACTGCGTACGAGTGTGACGCAAAGAGGCCTGATAAAGAGTCTAGAGCTACTCCTGTAGAACAACCACAGAATGAGTTTAATGGGTCTAAATAGACAAATGTTAACTTCATTCCAGCTACTATATTGCTACATGTGTTGCCAACACCAGAGAGGTTGCACAGTCCATCAGAACTGTTACTTCACTGGTACTGTATTTTTCTGACTCTTAACTCTCCCCTCTGTGATTCACACCTACAGACAATATGCATTCTGTTAACACAATAACTTATCAAAGGCACTAAGATATAACAGGTGTTGTCTGCTGTTTATTTCTACAACGCAACCTGTGGCCAATTTTCAATCCTCTTAAAGAGATTCTGCTGTGTCCATTCTGTTATGGACATTTTGGGTAAACAAGACTCTCAATAATCTTTTATTGCTTGGTTTGGTTTGCATTTTATGCGTTTAAGTGAAACTATTGATATTCTATTGAAGATTTTCTTATTGCTACTGATAAAGTGTCTATAAACGAGCTCGCCATAGCATTACTCAACAAAACTCCCAGGTAGCCGCTATGTGTAAATACCTGGATGTATGTACAAATGTGCTGTGTTTAGATGCCCATCTTGTGTTAATGTGTGTGCATGTATATATATAAGATTATGTACAGACTGTGGCAACAAATTTCTATCTATATCACTACCGTTTTATTGCCCAGGCCTAAGCCAGAGTCATCTTCCTTTTGGAAAAATTTTGCCCTCTAATGTAGCCAGACAAACTTGTTCTTTTATACTCAGCTATTAGGCAGTACCAAACAAAGGGGTCACCTTTAAAGGCCCCAATCCCAGGTCTGCATTTTCCCTTCTGGAGCGTCCTTGAGCTAGATGCTGATCCTCTTTCTCCATGGGCTCTGTTCTCCCACTGACCCAGAGCTCTGATCTCCCAGTGAAGGGGGCGGGAGGTGACTTACTAAAAAGTGATCAATAGTGTCACTTTACACCCATGCTTTGATCAAATCCACAACTAGTCCACAGCACGGGTGCATCTCTCAGTGTAGCAGCCATTTCCACCAGCTCCTGCTATGTTAAGCTGTAGAATAATTCCTAGTGGGTCTTCAATTCATTCTCTGTGGTGGTGTTTTTTTTCTCTCCACCTCACTGCAATGAGGAAGCAAGCTACTGATGGCTCCACACTGACCCCTGTGGACAGAAATGAGCACTACATCTCCTATTGCTTCATATTATTGCCTTTAAACTATGGATTTTATCACAGCTGGATGAAAACAGGAGTGTAACACAACATTACAGTATTTTCTGCACAGAAGATTTAGTGTGCAAGTAGTAAAAAAAACATTTGTATCTGTAAAGTAACAACTACAGCTTAAAGATGAATGTAGTGGAATAAAAAGTATTGACCTCTAAAATGTAATGGAGTAGAGGTATAAAGTAGCATAAAATGGAAGTACCCTAAATGTGTACTTAAGTACATTACTTGTTAAAATGTACTTACATTACATTCCACCACAGACTAGACTATATAACATAATACCATTTACTGTTCATTTTCCATTTTCCAGTTTCTACAATTCAGCTGTATTTTATTCTATTCTGTTCTATTATGTAGCACTTGTGAGGTTTGGCCTTTATTGCTGTTGTAGCAGTCTCTGCGTGATAAGTCTGCTCGCTTATCATTTCCCACACTAAATCCCAGCTAATGATCAGTCTACGAGCGTGGGAACCAGGAAGAGAGAGTAGGAGAGCAAGAAAGAAAAAGAACAAAACCCAGTAAAAGACCACAAAGGGAAAACACTTTTACATGGAGAAATGGCTACATCCATTGTACGTATTGTCTCTTTTTAATAAGCTCTCATAATTATTTTACTGATTTTTAGTGGGGACATTTTCCACTGAGGAACAGATCTTGTATATTGACTATATGCAATCAATATATGTGTAATACCAGAGGAAACAATGATTTCTGACTTTCACAGCAGAACTGAAAAAAATTCTTTCATCGTATTTTCAAAATACATTTAATTAAGTAACTAACTTAATTAACTAAGTAGCACAGGCAAAAATAAATCAACTAAATTTGACCTTTTACGCCTCAAAAGTGGCGGTACAACACAGACTGTATAATGATGCATTCATGTGCTCATTCCCTACAAGTTTGTAAGCTTAAGATTTATGGCACATTAAACTGTTATCCATCCATCCGTTTCCTGGGTCAACCTTTATTATCTACTTGTGGATAAATTGTTGCACAGCTGAGGTTGGAGCAGATTTGCTAATCCACCCAGCCATAGTAAAATAAAGTCAGACTGGGGATATGAGATCAACTGTGTATGCACACTAGATAACGCTCTCTTTTTTTTAATGCTGTGGGTTAGCAAACTGGATTAATTCCACATTACATGGGATTAGAGTGAAATCTGATTTCAGCCTAAAGTTAAATTCTACATCAAAAAGTCAGATGTTTTCAGTTTGAGGCACAGCTGTAATTGAGTTGACAAAGTAAAGGTAATGCAAACCTCTGCTGTCACCTGCAGGTAAGACGAGGCACTGCAAGAGTACTGTTCTCTAGTACATTTATTTATCAGTTAAATAAAAGATGAGGCAAGTCAGGAAACTCTCTCCAGGAAAGAGGTGTGCCTACACTTAACCTATCCCATGAGACTTGAGCAATTAAGTCAGTAGAGATTAATGTCACTGGTAGAAAGCATACTGATGATATTACCGTAAGCAATGGCCCCAGATGAAAACTGACAACCCCAGATGAATAGACACAAATGCAATTTTGCAACTAGAAAAAGTCTCCCTGGACTTGGTTGCCAACGTTAAAGAGATCACAATCAGTCTGAGAGCAGTTGTGGATAACACTGCTTCATATTCACAATCCAGGAAATAATTCAACATTAGCTCTCATAATATATGCTGTGTATGTTGTTCTGCAGATGCCTGGACAACCATGTATAAAGAAACTTCCAGAAACATTCACACTCACAGTATCCTCAATACACCAGAACACAAAAACTCTCACCCTCCAATTCTAACTCTCAAAATCACGTTTGCTCTCAGGTCATAACCCACAGATGCCGACCACTTTTGGCTAAGAGCAACTAGGCAACAAGTCTCACTCTGGGGGCTGTGGAAGAGATTCTGGGAAACATTATGCCTTGAACATTATCCTCCACAAGATTTAACTGAAAGTCTAAAACCAGACGGCTGGAAATCACTTCCAGAAATACAAGGAAATGAAGTAGACTGAGGGAACATGAGTACAATGAAATTAAATACATTACTCTCAAACCAAACAAACAACTATTTCACTTCCCATGTTGCTCTAATTGCTAATTTTCTGTAAGAGAGCAACTTCAAAGGCTCCAGATATTTGTCCTCTTCCTCCGCTGTATGGAGGGCTTGAGCTACTACCCTCCAGACTGAGAGGTCTAAGAGGGTGAATAATCATAATTATTAACAAAAAAATAATTATTTTATCTCTCAGGCCACCAAACATTTAAATACTCATCATGACTCAGCTGGTGATTAGTTTCCTACATTACTACTACAGCAAGAGTCACTGGATGTATTCATCTTTTATTAGTTTTCTCTTACCAGTACAAACAATGTATTCTATCATGTTTTATGTAACTTAGTCCATGTGCCTATGATCTGTGTGTTGTATGTTTTATCTGGCTGCCAGACAAATGTTCCCATAGAGGCAATAAAGTTAAAGTTGAAGTAGAAGTTATCAATCAGTGTAAGAATATCCTGACAGCAGTTGCCCGCTGGCCTTTACTTAAATACCATTTACTGTACCACATTTTATAGCTAGAAATTGGTACATTATAGAAAGATGATGGCAACTGAGATGGATTTTGAAAGAGTGAAAAAGAGGACAAACCCTGAACTGTGATCCTGCACTGTAACAGCTCTTACCCAGTGGTAACACTGTAAGGAAGGCCAGTCATACACTAACTGTGTTAGTGACAATGAGACTAATAGCTGTTTGTTTGGCTCAGTGATGCCTCTTCTCAGTCATCACCCCGACAGCAAAACACAAATGCTTCAGTGGGTGAATGTGTGTGACACACTGTGTAAATGGATCTGACTCCTGTTTTTTTCTCTCGTTGGCTGGACACACAGTGAAGTAACACCTCAATCGGTCTTGAGAAACCATGGAAATAATCTCATTTACAGAAAAATATATCTTACAGTTCATACTTGTTTCATTTCGACAGCCAGATGGTTGACGAAATGATGCAAAATAACAGACAGAAAAGGCCAGTAATATACATGCAGTCTGCGTCTGTAATATGTTACTTCAGCATGCAAGCAACTATGATGTATATTGAATTGATTTACATATTGGCACAATACACTCACTTGTACCCAGCTTGATACAGATACATGGTAATCAAGTAGAAATTCTTGCATCCGAGTAACTGACACACAATGAACTAATGTTTTGTGAGCCTGATCCCATATTTAAGTTCTGTCGCATCCATTCTGCACCTCTGCAGGTCCACCAGCAGATGGAGACAGATGACTGGTATTCATGAACACTCCGGGCGAATGTCTTTGTAGCTGAGGGCGTGTAAATGTGTGTGTGTGTTCTCTAAGATAAACTTACTGGTAACAGTGAGTACATTAGTCTTGACCTCAGCAATGATGTTGAGGCGACCTCTCCTCTCAGTGTGGTCTGTCCCACACAGGCTCGGCACATTGGCCACACAGCGCTTATGGATGTTCATCATACAGTCTGGAAAACACACACGAACACACACACAGATGTATTTGTAATGTTGTTTAAGCATGTATTTCTTTTAAATATACACAGCAAAGACGATGCACAATATTATATTATTTTGGAAAAACAGGCATTATGTGAATATAATGTGTAATACAGTACTGATGTATACTGATGTCAGCACAAGGTAAAACAGTTTTTTAGGGATATATGCCAACACTGTAAGAATGATACAGCTGTGACTAAATTCAAGCAAAGGAGAAACTGTTACTCAGATGTCTACCAGCATTGAGAGAAGGTGTAAAATGACATAAAGATGTAGGATGTAGCATTCGACTGATATAAGGATAGGTGTTAATACTGATATATGATACATACGGTCACATCTCATGCCCTGGTGTATGAGGCCATAGAGCAGAGAGCCACAGTGGTCGCAGAAGGTCGGGCTGGAGTAGGTGTGGATCTTAAACTTGTGCTTTGCCCTCGGGTCCTGGAAGGAAAGGAGGAAGAGTGAATCATTAAAATCTGTATTCACTCACATTTCCTGTCTTCATAAAACAACAGTATCAACAGCGTCAAGTGTCAACAGTCTTCTTTGTCAAACATTTGAATGATATTCTGTAAATATCATGTAAAACTATAATAAAAGTTTAGTGCATGTACATGTTGTTTGTTGCCATATGTGCATCATCCTATCTACCGGTATTAATTAAAAAAAGTGGTTGTCTGCCACATATGGTTTTCCTTGCTGTTCCGGGTTTTATACATACCCATCTTTTATGCTCCATCTCTGTGCACATTAGGTATATGGAAAATGTGGCATTTATTCAAATGGGCATCTGCACTGTAATCTGATCGAGATAGGTTTCATCAGAATTTTCTTTGTCCACATCAGTTTAGAAAGACTACAAAGGCAGCTACATGTATGACCTGTGTGTGTGTGTGTGTGTGTGTGTGTGTGTGTGGACGTTCATCTGGGTCATTCTTGGCTCAAACAACACCTATCTAAATCTCCGCTGCTTGCGCAGAATGGCAAAGAGTGGCAACACTTCAGCTCAAGCTGTGTGAGGGCCGTTCGACGGACCCTAAAAATAGCTGCAGTGTGTACATTAGAAGAGCACTGTAGGTGAGTGAAGAGTCGGTATTTACAAGGTTTAAAGTTAGGAGGCTGGGATCACTGTGCACAGTGAGTATGCCAACAGTCTCTCCCAGTCAGACAGGAGAATAAAAGGTTCTCCCTTTAGTTATTCCCTTCTCAGCTACTGCACGCATTGTAACTTATCCGAGTGCTTGTTAACGCCCCCTAAACCCAAACAGCCTGTATGGCTGAATGGAGGCAACGCTATCCAATGTTTTGTGGGTTACCTATTAATGACAAAGACAGAATATGTCTCCCGTCTCTGCCAGCTTTCATTGGCTCGCTACCCCTCTAATCCCTCCTCCTTCCCCCCCAATCTACAACTTTACACTTACAAACATAACAAAGAAAACTTGGCGTTTAGTATTATTGTTGAGAATGTTTAACATGAGGGCAAACTTCAAGAAACACAGACACTCCCTCCAACAATCTGTGAGTGCTGCTTCAGGTAAAGACCCCTCACAGACTAGAGGTAAACTGACCTATCTATACTATAATCTATATAAACAATATTAATGGAAAGAACACATTTCACATAGGCCTTTTATTTTAGCATTAAACCCTCTTACCTGTCCTCATCCACATTCATGGTAATATGGATGCCAAACAAGCTGTTGACAGCAGGAGTGGGCAGGTTGAGGCCCTCGCCGATGAAGGGATTTACACCATCTTTCCCCGGCACCACACCGGCACTGGGCTGAGGTAGGGCATCAGACTTCTGCCTAATATCTTCTGCCTGGATAGTGAAGCCGGCGGGAAGGCCAGTTATGACACCTCCGTGGGCTCCAACCAGGGCGGTGTTGGTGGTAGTGGGCACTGTGGCAGGCGCGTTCTGGACACTGCTGTGGGAGGTGGCTGTGGTGGAAGGTGCGGGTGCAATGCCTATCCCTCCTGAAGGCTGCGTCTGGCTGACATGCTGCTGTTGGCCATTTCCTGGAAGAATGGGGGCCATGGTTGGTGCATTACCCGCCTGCAGCAAGAGGCCCTGGGCTGGGCCTGCCTCTCCGCCCAGCCCCAGGGCTCCGGGACCAGCACTGGTGATTAGAGGCGAGGGTACCTGGCTGGTTGGAGGCCCCACAGAGAGGGCCGACATGGCAAAGTTCTGAGTGCTTGAGCCAAAGTGCTGCTGACGGTAGTCCGGCTGGCCAGGTGAGAGGCCAGTGGGGTGAGTAGAATAGGCAAACTGCTGGGCCTGCGTGGCAGGAGGCATAATGGGAGACTGCTTCATGGCACCTTGGTGCACACCGTTGAGGCTGTTAGAGAGGAAGGTTTGGGGAGCAACAGGATGCATAGTGACTTGTGCCTGTTGCGCTTGCTGTGATGCTGTAGTTGTAAACCCAGTGGGCTGGAAGGCACTTGCCCCGCTCCCTATCTGAGGAGCCAAGCTGTAGCCTTGCTGCAGAGGCTCTGAAGGGTGGGGGTGGGCAGGGTGCCCGGTGGAATAACCACTGTCCGCGGTGGTCTCCAAAGCCTGTGCAGAAAAAGCACTGCTAGTAAGCACAGAGTTACTGGTGGCCCCGAGCCCGCTGTCCCTGTCTGTACTGTGGTCAAGGGTTACAGTTGGCTTTATGCTGTCCACAGTTCGATTAACATTTGAATCCGAATCCCTCTCATAGAACTCAGTGCATGTCCACCTGCCCCGTCTGAAGGGCTCTCCTGTACCATGGTCGAGTTTAATGACCCTGAAACGGGAACTACAGCTGGCGCTCCCAGGAGCGGTGGGAGCCACGTTAGTAGAGACAGCGGCAGCAGGGGCCGAACTGATGACTGTGGAGGGATGGGTGGCTGAGCTTGGAACAAAGGGCTGAGCTGGAGCTGGCACAGGCACACTTCCTCCTAAATGATGTGGGGTGACACGACCAGTGCCTATACTTTTGTAATTGAGCCCCCCGTTGACAGGACCTGTGGAAGACGGCTGGCCCTCCTGATGCTCTCCTACGTTGTTTAAGGTTTCCTCCGATGAACTCCTCTCACACACCCCCATGTCGGCCCGAGAAACGTCAAATATCTCCGACGACACGTCCTCTGTCCGGGACTCGTCCGGGTCTTCCAGGCTCTCGGTGTCGTCGGTGATGCTGCTGGCCGCCACCTGAGCCTGCGTTACACTCGTGATCTGGAAGCAACTTTTCTTCTTAGCCGGCATTTTCGACATGTTGACTTATCTGCGTCAAGTCCGTCTGCCCCCTCCAGATGAAACAAAGTGCTGGACTAATGTCTTGCGAAGTAATTCACAGCTGAGGGACACGACACAGACACGTACCGTCACAGGACATTTCCATACCGTTCCTCTTCCTCTCTCGTGTCGGAGAAAAGTGTCACAACCGGGGCCAGACCCCGCGAAACTCACCAAATGTTCCGCGGTGTCCGGTCGCAGCACACAGGCGCCTGTTGTCCCTCCTGCTCCGGCTCCTCTCACAGCCCGGGTCGGCCTTCCTCGCGTCTCGGCAGCGGAGTTGCAAACAGGCCCTTGTCAAAGTTCTTGTTCAGCAGCTGCGGCCGGTACTTTAGTCTGAGGCGGGCCCGGTCTCACAGCCCACTCTTCTCTCTCAGCTAGCCCTGTATGTGTTACTCGCCGACTAGCTGAGTTAGCTGAGGGTAGCTAGTTTCCCCTACCTGGGTACCAGCATGTGCGGCATCGCGATGTAAACAAATCCACTGGCTGTTGAAAGAGAGAATACAATCCAGCGGTAGATGGAGAAAACGTCTCAAAGTCAGTGAAGTTTTGCCTCTCGCCGTGCGGACAGCTCACTTTTGGCAGCTGCTAGTAGCAGCTAGCTGACAGATAACCACTTTACCAGAGCGGCAGAGAGCTAACAGGCTGCTAACTCCTGCTGCCACTCTCCTCACACAG